TTATTATTGTAATTAATTATTTGTATTTTTTTATTTTTACCTTTTCTATTGTTTACATGCATTTATAAAAAAGAAAATAACAATTTATACAATGTAGTGTAATGTATAACTAATAATTTAATTTATCTTCAAACTTTATAGTTTATTTTGTTAACTGTTATACAACCCTCATCTCTGATACCAACTATTATGTTTAAGAGATCGACAAAATTGCAAATATGAAATATGTATTGATATATTTACATTGTGCTTGTTCTAAATTTTATTTAAATTTATAAAAGTAAATAACAACTATATAATATATAATATCTTTTTATCTTTTTCAGTGTTTTATGCATGTAGATTGTAGACTGTTATCGCGAAGTTGAATGCATGCTTGTTAAATGTATTATAAATCATATAATAATATTAAAATATTTAAAGGTATAGTGGGTGATCAAAGTTTCTTTAAACTTTTTTTTACTCTAATTATTTGTTTTTCACGTTTACATATTAAATAAAAATAATAATAATTGTCAAATTGATCCATTGTATACAGCATTCAGATTTATAATCAAACGACATGTGGTTAAATATTACATAAAAATGTAGTATTCACATAAACCGTCCATATCTAGTAAGTACAAATTTTGCATGTTAAGTTAAATTCACATACATTATCAACAATTTCAATTTTATAATTTAACTTTAAAGTGAAGCGAAGTACAGAAATATATAACTACTCAACCACCACATATTATATTTTTGCAGTATGTTGTATAGAATATACTTATTAGTTATTTGATTGTATGTATTAATTAGAATACATTGAATCTATTATTAAATAATATTATATTTAATTGCAAAAGATACGTTACTGAACAGAATAATTCATTTATAAAATTCTTATAATAGAAAAAAATATGTTTAAACAGTTACCATTATGAAAAAAAAAGATTTACAAATTACGATAAATTTGTGTAATTAGTTATCATCATCTATATTATCTTCTATATACTAATAGAATAACGTGTACAATAATCATAAACTTAATGTATCCGCAGTAAAATTCTAAAAAAAATACCATAATAAAAAATAGTTGCGTGTCGAATCGAGTGGTAAAATAACTTGATATAAGCCCAATGGTATATAGTAAACAAAAAAAAAAAAAAATAGCAATAAAATTTGATATCTCACAATAAACTGTTGATATTTTTTTAAATATTTTATCATGTAAAATCGAATATTCAATTTATCTTATAAATATATTTACTATGCTGAAGTGAATAAATAGTTATTTATATAATATGCATGCAACTGTTATGTATAAATATAAGCTAGGTACAACTATTTATATAGTAATAATTTACAAAAATAATGTATAGGTACATTTTATTAGTCATATGTAGTTAGTCTATGTTACCTGTAAAACTATAGTCTATCAAGACTATACATCGTTTATCCCTTATAATAAACATGGTCGGGTATAAGTTGATACGAGTTACTATCTATTTACATGAAAAACATGACAAACGTGTGTTTTTTTTTCTTTTGAAAATTGAAAACTACACAATATTTATGGATACAAGAAAAACGTGCCATTAGTAATGTGCACGTGTAAGTATAAAAATTGAGCTTGGCCTATTTTGTCCACGTTATATGTCCCTTTAACAATATAATATGTGATAAACGGGAATATAATTTAGTATTAGATTTCGTATAAATGTCGTTGAAATTAAATACCATTAAATTATATGTACAGTAACACAACTATAAAGGTGTCGAGCCGTCGTGGTACACAAAGTACACTGTACAGTCTACACGCAGTGTTCACATAACTATGGTTTTATATTTACTAAAAGTATTTTTTATAAAAAAGTAAAAGTGTACAGATAATATTAGTATTTATGTCTAGGTATTTAACTATCTATGTACACACCTATGATACGATAAATAATACGCTGGCGACGTCCGAGAGCTAAAAGTTGTGTAAGATAATATTATCATAATATTATAATCGCATGCAAAAATGTCATGTAAAATATCGATTGTATATCTATAAAACACGTGTAGAATAATAATACGTTTTAAATATTTGTCTTATTTATTTATATTTCTAATGGTATAATTATATTATTATAATATGCGTAGGTTATGACAGTATGTCTCTTGCAGAGCGTTCTCTTTTCGCCATCAGAGACGACGTTGCAGGACTTTAACGGTCATGCTGTATGTACCTACAAAAATCAATTACACTTGTCCGTCTACGTGTACAATATAATAATATTTATAGGTAGACAGAGTAATAATAATTTTGTGGTGTAATAATGTTCCTGCGCTGCGGCGGCTCGGGTTTTGGCTTCACAACACGTTCACCGGTTATAGACCCGTCGAAATGATTAAACGATTGTGTCCGTGTGTTTTATTAAATTGATTTTCGAAATAATTGAAATATCAAAATCAGTTGCGTAACAGTCGTCGTCAAAATTATTACACGACGATGTGCACAATGGAATCATATCATATCACCGCGTGCTCACGTACGTACGATATTATATTAAACATAAAAATTATATCGTTATTATTATACATTATGTTCTCTGTATGATTTCAGTATCTATGAGATAATATAAAATACGCGATTCCCGCATGACAATGACGGTTACATAAAACAATAAGCGTAGGCACTTAATTATGTATATGTGTAATGTATTATACCTATATAGTATAATACTATGCCTATGAGATCTATGTGTATAAATTGACGTATGATGGGAATTAATTTTAGTAGAAAACACATGTAATATGGTAATAAAAATCAAGTAGTCTTAGTGTTACTCTATTACCCTAACGTAAGAAATTATGGTTAAGGCGTTATTATTATAATTATTTTCTAGTAACTGAAAACATATATTTTTAATTTCATATTACGAATTAGAATATTTTCAGAGTATTCAATACATATAAATAGAATTTTAAATATTTTACTAATAATCTTTTGAAATTCAATGTTTATGTATCAGAATACTCTGAAAGATATTCGGTTTAGGAATATGAAATTAAAAATGGCATTGATAAAATATCGTAAATATATATTTTTTAAGTGTTGTTCTGTGATGGCTTAAAATTATGTAAAAATAAACAAATATACTCGTATTTAAATTATAATAAATACCAATTTTCAAAATAATAATAATAATAACTTTACTGCAACAATAATCGAGATAATAGCTGCTTGTAAATAAAATTGTTGAATGGTTGGAAATTCGTCGAATAGTAAAGAAGTTTTAATTAAGATTGCAGAACCATCGTGGGATGCGTCATCAGGGTGATCTGCTCTATTAATATTATAGTCGTATAGATTAAATTTTACGTTGGGCGATAGGTAGGTTTCAGTAATATTAGTGCGATATTAATATTTTTATCATGTAAACATTGTAATTTATTTTTGTGTTGTTTTTAATCCATTGAAGTTTCAAAGGATTATTGATAAATTAGTACTAAGACATTTATTTTTAATCATTTTTTAATAGTATTTTATTAATCACTGTTGTGAGGAGGGAGATAAGTAGGTTTCATATAATTTTTAAAGGATGATAACAATAATCCTAAGTTGTCCGAGGAACATTTGTCAGATATTTTATCATTATTAGACGGTTGATAGTTATTTTGTGTAACTTGAGAATAAGATAGATTTGAGGGTTTTATTTTTTAAAGTTTCTGAGATGTTGGTAGAACAAGGATTTGTTTTTAAAGGTGTTTTTGAGTTGGTGGTCCTTTGAAGTTTGATTTGAGTTTTTGTTGAGGTTTGATTTGTTCGATTTTGGTGGTTTTTGAAGATTGGACATCTCTTGTAGTTTGCCGGATGATCGCCGGAGTAAAGGGCTCATTTGGCTGGTAGATCACGATTTTTTGGACAAGATAGGGAAATATAAAAGTCACCATAGCGTACACACCGTGGTTTTTTATTGCAATAGGACCTTGTGTAACCATAGTCTTGACAGTTAATGCACTTAGATGGTTGATTTTTGGCTTGGGGGTTTTTATTTTTATTGTTGTATAACAGAGAGAAGTTATTTTAAAGACATCACTGTTGTTGAGTGACGGTTCTAAGTCAACAAAGAATAGCGGCAGTGGAGTTTTGGTTTGGCTGAGTAGGATATTTGTTATATTGTGAACAAGAAAACCATTTGAATGTAATTTTTCTTTTATGAAGTTGATATTGACAGTTGGAAGTTCCGTATAACGACTCTGTAAGACTTCTCTTATTAAACATATATTTATATAAAGGCATATATTTTATTCAGAGATTATAAAATTTAAATTATCTGTATCTAACATTTCCATATTTTAGATTTTATTATTTAATCCAGTGGTCTCAAACATACGACCCACGGGCCACAAGTGGCCCGCAAACCCCTTCTATGTTGCCCGCAATAAAAATACATTTTGAACAAAAATATGAAAATAGTGCAGCTCAAAAATAAAAGTTATCAAATATTCAAGCTATTTTTAAATTTTAATTATAATTTTATTTTAAGTTAACGATCATTATATTTTTTTCAATGATAATTTTGTAGTAATAAAAAGTAAATAAATGGATTTTGTATGTATTTTTGTCTTCATTTTGTCTTTAGTTTCTAGTGTATAAGTATAAAAGTGACACTTAAAATTTGGCCCGCGAATTTTTTTTGAAAAAATATATGGCCCGTAAGTAATTTGAGTTTGAAATCACTGATTTAATCCAACAGTTCATCATAACATAATGAACAATATAGAATAGGAGTAATCATTTCGGAAGTTATAAAATCCTTGTTATATAATTGTAAGATATTATTTTGGTAAATAAAATTAAAATAAAATACTGTTTTTATCATTTACTATTTTTATAACTAAAGAAATGTTTACATATATGTTTGAATGATAAAAATGTTGTATACCTACCTATAAAATAATATATTTTCTAAATACAAAATAATTGTATTTAATCTGGAAAAGCATTATTTACTTTAAATTACACGAATACATTTATAATATGATGTCATATCCAATCAAGTGCCTCTTTCCTATACATTCACCGACGAAGAACCACATATATATTTCGAGAGCAATGAATGAACTGAGAGTAGCATCCTGTAAATAAAATATTTTAAATTTATATGAATAAAGATATTGAAAAAAAAAATGTACAAATAAATACCAAAATATGTATAACGGTTCATTATAATAAATTGTTTGATTTTAATAAATAAACCTTTATATTATTAATTATTTAATAATTTAGAGTATCAAGCTACTTGTTTGTACAATTAATCAATGAATACCAAATTGAAATAGTTGAAATTTAAACTATGAATAAAATACTGTTATTTATGTATAAGAGCTTTAGAAAAACAATTCAAATTTAATTTTTTTATTAAAAAAAAACCACTAATATACTAATATGATTATTCAACAGTTACAAAATAAATTTAAAATATAGAATGGTTTTAATATAAATTATCAAGATGCTTAACCTGTCGTGACTCGCGTATATAATCTGAACACCGCTACTCGTGTATAGAACGATTCGCTCACCAGGTATATTCTATCATAAAAGTAATAATTTAGGGAAAAATAAATGTATAATAATATACTATAATTAATAAACTAACATAGAATTAAAAAATGCAATGTTTTAAATCAATATAATAAAAATGATGAATCATTTAGTCACTCAAAATCTTCATCTAACCACGAGAAAAATTTAACTGACATATTTAAAATAAATTTAAAACACCAAAAAAAAAAAATTAAAAAATTAATGAATAAACGATTAAAAACAAAAATGTTTATATCATTATACGTGAATAATTCTAACTATGTTACTCGCACGTAAGTTAGGTTAACCGTAAAATGATATTTTACGTTGGGTAAACGCCGAAAATCGAAAATCTGCTGATGAGTATACAGCGTATACCCACGTATTCATACAAATACATCACTGCAGTATTAAGTAGAAAAATTATTTAAATATTTACGTAAAAGATTCAAAAGTCTAGGCCTTAGAGTACAGACATAATAAATAATATAGTCCATTAATTCTTGTGTGTATAATAATTTTACTCTTAATATAAATAAAATATTTATACCTATAGTCAATTGAAAAATAAAATTACGTATTTTTTTAAAGTAAATCAACACATTTATTTATACTTTATATTTAATAATTAATTATTATAAGCAGTATTGTAGTTGTGTTGGCAAATAAATGAACAGATATTTATAGCAACAATAAATAAACATTTTGCGCATATCCATTATGTATTAATTTTTAGTTGTGTAGGTATACCTATCTACAACAAACAAATTTTTTTAATGGAAAATACAATAAAAAATTACTATATGCAATAATTAGGTCCATTTAACAGTCGCGTATACGGCGAAACATGCCTTATAACTTATAAGTTATAATTTTCCTATAATAAATAGTTAAATTCGTAGTTATTAAATTTTAAATATTAAACAATTAATGTAATCAAATGGACTTAATTTCCCCAATGGATTCGCTACGCCCCTACTGCGAGCAAGCCAGTAGTTCACATCTTAAAAATAATGTAAGGAAAATCCTCACACGCGAGCAATGACGGGTTAAGACTGTTAATACATTTTTTAAGATATTTAACATTTGATAAAAGAAAAATTATTTTAATATTATGCCTATTATATTATTTTTATCGAAACATCATAAAATACATAAACCTACCTTGACCGTAACATTTTTCCAACATCCAGTTCGAGCTGTTTGTATCATTTTAGATATCTCGTTTTTTATTTCTGGCAAATCAGAAAACTTGGGTGGAGTTAACTCCACTTTAGCATATTTCACAAAAGTTTGTAAATTGGGCTTAACTATGGTAATGATTGCTAGATAATATAAAAGAACATTTTTTTTTTTTAATAATTACTTTATTTTTAAGAATTAATATTTGAGATTCAATTAAGGAACTTATAATACTTACTTTTAACAGTCTTAACTGAACCGAATTTCTTAGATATCCAGCTCATTTTTCTGATTTTTTAATTTGAAAAATAGATTTAAATTCCTGTAAAATATTAACGAGGTATTAAATCCAAAGGAGTACGAATAATAAGTAACTATGAAATGTGAATGTCAAGTCGTGATAAAATAACAGCTGTACAGTAAACAAATTTAATAAAGACGTTCTAAATAAAAATCAATGCTATTATATTGTTAGTCTAGTAGCAAATCGTAATAAAAAAAATAAAAAATACATTATATAACAGTATAAGGAGACTTTATTAGACTTAATAAAATAATATAATAGATCATGAAATGGGGTACAAAATTTAAAAACAAGAGGCCAATAAAGAAAATAAATAAAGTAGATAGACAATAAGCGGTAGATATGAGATGGGTAATAACTAAAATTAAATATTAACTTCGATATAATGATTATGCCTCGGCACTTAAACAGATTATTGAATTATAAGTATTAGGTACCGTAATACTGTTTTAGATACACATACATATATTTCAATTTTAAAGAATAATCTCGAATGTAGGTATCTCTTCAACTGGACGTCAGTGAATCATCTTTATACTGCACTTTTTGTAAAGAATCTGATAATACTTCAAAATATGACAATAATATTATATTCTTCTTATTTAAATTAAAATTATTTTTTTACATAATTTTCATTTTAAGCAAAATTAAAATTAACAAATTGAACACTACATTGTTCTATAAGTTATAAAAATATATACCTATATATTATAACGATAACCTATATAATAATCTATATATAGATGCCTAATGGTTTTGCAATGAAGTAATGGAGGGGCCGTAGGCGGGTTTCCTTTTGGACTTGGATATCTTTGACAATTGCGTAAAAGTATATGACGAAAAGTCAAATATCAGGACCAAATGTGTTTGGGGGCGAGTATAATAATAATAAAATAATAATGTTCGGTTGGACGGTAAATCGAAAGGAATTCATAATAAGTGCACGGTGACGGTGCGGTCTGTGAGAAAAACTATTTAGTAATAGATTTATTTTTATCCATTGAGATCGGTAATAACGGCGTTTATAATGTATATATGAGCCATTCAAAATGTATAATACAATCTGTTTATATTATTGTTAACAACGGTATAGAAAAAACAACGAGCATATAAGGTTTTGTAACAATAACTCGAGGCTTGTTACTTCATATACTTACTTATAAGTACATACAGGCACACTATAAAATTACCAGCTTTTACTTTAACTATATTATGCATGTAAATAAATATAAGATATAAGGTTTATTATAATGTTTGTATTCGTATTGAGAAGTACACTTAAGAAGTGTAATCATTTTCCATCAGTTAAATTAATATTCGTTGACAAGTGTAAAGACTAATTACTGTGTGAGCATGTTGAATACAATAATTTTGTAATGTTAGGTAGCTATAATAAATAATAAAATTATTTTTAATTCATTTTTATCATTAAAAAGTAATATTGCACATAATAAACTCCATAAGTTAGTTTTAATATACTACTTAATATTTTTAGTAGGTAGTTAATATCATAAATAAAAAAGTACGATATACAATAAACCATATAAATAATAATAATAATAATCAAATAGTTACAGAATACAATAACTAGGTATATGAATACTATAAATGTGGATGATATACTGACATTAATATTGCAGGTCGGTTGAAATAATAATACACACTTTAGTAATCATGATAATTAATCTTCGTGTCGATGAAACATAAATATCACGACTGTTTTATTTCAACATAAACCACCCACGAATTTATTTAGCCCCGAGTAGCTAGTTCAATAAATAATAATTTTAAAAAATCTGATTTTCAAAAGTAATTTACAGAACATAAGTAATAGGTAGGTAGTTTTAATAAATTAAGTATATGGCAACATATTATAACTAGAAACCGTTTCAGATTGTAGTAATTTATTTTTTATTAAGCATATTTTATGTACGCACTTAAATAATATAATAAGTATGGTTTCTGGTTTTACCAATTATTTTAATAAACTATTATTATAAAAGTGGTAACTAGTAATATACTAGTAATTATACGTCATAAGGTATAGGTATCATGTTAGTTAGAAAATATTGCAAATAAAAGAAAAAAATGCGTGAATTGTACAGGCTTTTCGGAAGACATTTCACATTACGCATGGCAATCAAAGACTTCTGTACAAAGTTATATCATTAAACCGATTTGGATTAATAGCATACAATCGTGTGGTTGCTAAACTTGTGCCAAATTGCTATATAAAATAAAACATTGAAGTCATTCAACATCGTAAAATATTGTTCTTCGTATTTATATAGTAGAATAACACAATTATGAAGATAAAATTATCCATCCAGAATGAAATAAATAGTTTGACAACAAACATAAATTCTAAAAACTTCTTAACAACTTACAAGAAATTAGGTGTTTCAAAGATCGAATCTTTATGTACGACTAAGTTGAAGTGTTTAAAAAGGATATCTCATTAATGATATACAACCCCAAACATGTGTTGTGCGTTGTATTTATATAGACTTAAATCGGTCGTTTAAATAATATTAACCATTCCTGGGAATTCTCCTAACAAGCTACAGAGGTCATGGTGTCGCGGATCTAAATCTTAAAAAATAATAATAATATATTCATATATAATTAAAATTCATTATGAAATTAATCAAATCCCTAAGTAAAACATTGCGATTGGGTAACAATACAACTGCATAAATGTTTATTGCTTATTGTAATAAATTACAAATTGTTTGTTTTTAAAAATAAAATAATAAAATCGCCTCAGGACAGTAGTAATAAAAAAAAAGTTTTAGTTTTTCTTTATTTAATATAAGTACATAATACATACCTATGATATAATTTTAACATTGTAAGATACAAACCGTGCAGTACAATTTGTTGAACAAAAACGATAAATATCGTTTTGTTTTGTAAATAGATATTATAATGTCAAGTTTAGACAGATTGTGTTTGAGATGTCTACAGTTCTACAGATTTAATAATGATGGATGAATCTAATGCAATCGATCATAGTGTATAATAAAAGGTTTTTCGTGAACAAACAGTCCTACATTATTGAGTAGGTTGTTATGATAGTTTAAAAAATAATAATAACATTGAATTATTTTTTCAACTTCACGTCTGTTACAAAACTAAATGTTGACAAAACAAGATGATATAATATATTTAATTAACTAAACGTGAATTCTAGTATTTAGTTCTTAATATTGATCGGTGTTATTATATTTATAAACAGATTTGAGATTTGATATTTCTTCAGTCTTTAGTCTTATTCTATTTTTGGATTTAAATAACTTTTATTTTTTAGACCAAAATTTAAGTTTTACTATAGATAATTAACTTATCATAAATTTTATTATTAAATCGATAGTCGGGTGACACGGAGGAAATTTCGATAGCTCGCCTCTATAAAGTGCGTCAATATAGAATATTGCAAATATATTTTACGTATTCTTAAAAAAAAAATTGTCTTGAAAAAATTATATCTGTAAGTATTTATTACATAACTAATATTGTAACACATAATATAATTGAGTTAGAAATTATGAACTGGGTTTGTAATATATAAATTATTTAGACAAAATCTAATTGTATCATTAACAAAACTGTAAATATTAGGGGAAATTGTATATTTATATAACTATAAAGTATAAAAATGAAATACTAATGTACGCTTAATAATATTTACGAGTATATGCATCAAATAAATTATACGACCAAGTTTCAACCATATTGTCCATATTATAAAATAGTTTAATATTTATTGTGTGTGGCTTTTATGGTTGATTCATAGATTTGTTATGGATAATAGTACGGCGTTAAATAACAATCGAATAAATATATTGAATTTATCAACATTATCGAACAGATAATAACTACATGACATGACATGTTGTTAAGACAATTGGATTCTTCGTATCATCTGTATGATGCGAAAAATTTAATCAAGGAAATCTCATTAAAAAATTGCATAGCCTTGACTGCGGAATAGTGTCTGCACATCAAATTATATCGATCTCATTCGAAAATTAAAAATCGACCGATCGGCGTACAAGCTATCGCGTTTTAAAATGGTTTCAAACCAACGGGCGGGCTGTAATTGGCTAGTCTCGGCCGGAAATCGGGATTTTTAATACATCGAGCTTAGCGGGCAAAACATAGTACAATAATAACGAACGCCGATACACTTCTTGCAATAATGCGAGTGTGAGATGGTAACGGAAAAAAAATGTGGCAACAATATAATACGAGTATAATACGGGGTTCACGAGCAGTCGGCAATCCTATCTAATCAATTATATTACGAAAATCGTCATAATAATAGTGAAAAAAAAAATTGTGACAGCATTCGCGCAACGGCGAACGGTCGTTATTATTATTATTATTATTATTATTATTTTGACAAATAAACAATATTCCAGAACACATCGACGATGGGGCTTATAATAATAAGTAATAACGATCGGTGCTGGGAGGAATCGCGCAAAGCACGATTGTTTGCGCGACCGGTCCAGCGTATATTTCTATATATCTACATAATAATATAATATATATTATATACCTGCACAATGATTATTAGGGAGCTGTTTTATCTGATTTCCACGTGACTGTGCAGCGTGCATATTATGCATTGTAGTTGTATATGCAGGTTGATTTGCCAATCATGCTCACCCCCATTTTTCATTTATTACTGAATTTATTCATATTATAATTTTTGGAATTTTTAAATACATCTACTTTAAGTCCATACTTTTGAATTCTTGAAATTTTTTGTACTACTTAAAAAGTGTTTATTGATGATAGAAACTTTTGTTTTTTAATTGAGTTCCTCCTTCCATTTTGAGTGCATATTATTTAGATTTTAGAGGACAATTCCATATTCAGTTTCTTTTTTATTAAAATATTAAATTTATATCTAGAAAAATACCTAGTTTTTAAAAATTAGCTAACAAAAAAAATATACAATGATTTTTATATTGAATTCAGTGTTTTTTATACTTGGACCATTTAAAAAAA